GGGTGAGTAGTGGCATAATGCTTTCCCGACTTTGCCTGTTGTTTTGGGAGGGATCTGAAAAAGCCTGTCTCAAAACCACTGAGATAATTTGTAATGCTTCTAGTAATGACTTTGCCATGGTCTTTTGCTGGCTTTTCCTTCTGTGAAGTGAGACAAGATTTCCTTCCTCCACTGCCTCAAACTGCTTTTAAAAGAATTATTCTGTGAAATTTACTAAGGCTTTTTTGAAAATGAAAAATAAACTGCATCTAGCTATTTTGAGGTGTTATAAACTTCCTCACCTTCAGTGAGGGTTGCTGCTGGTTGACCTCAGAGTATCTGCTCAGGTTTTGACTCAGTCTTTTCTCCTGTCATTAGTATTTTGTGAGTGGGCTTGGATTTATGTTGCTCAAAAGCTTTTTAGACTAGGGCTGGGGTTAGTTGCTATATGAACCTCAGGCTGTGGTAGGAGGAGAACCAAGGTTCCTTGGCTTTGATTTACCCAGTGGTAGCTCAGTCTTTAAATCACTGTCTAGCTGTAACTTTTTATGTCACTTCCTGTGCAGCCTCAGCTGCAGACTCTGTTAAAACTACCTTGACCAAAATTTTATATCTAAAATGGATATATATATATATATATTTATATCAGATTAATATTTTGGTTAAAGTTTTTCAAACTCAAAGGGGCTTATTAACAGAAAAATAAATTTTTTTAAGGTGGCCTGAATTTATTCAAATTAACAAAAAAAGAACAATTTAAGAAACTTGATAGCCTAATTATTTATTTATAAGTTCTATATAGTCTTTCAGGAGAGCAGTATTTTCCCTACTGTGTTGCATTGAAATTTTTTTCTTCTTTACTTGCTTTTTCTTCCATATTTTTGATCTTTAAAAAAAATACTCTTGCCATTTCCAAAGAACTGGAAAAAAGGAATGGAAAAGTTAATAGAAAGATAAATGAGGGGAAAAAGATGGGAGAGATATGAAGCCTAAAGAACAAACAATAACGAGTTCAATTTTATCACTATATGACTACTGAAAGAAAAATATTTTCTGAACTTGTAGTGATTTTTTAGCTCTATACTCACAGAAAATCCTTTGAAAATGGTTAACTTTTTAATTTGTCATATTTCCAATTGTATATATGCATGGTCAGAGCTAATGACTCTGTGAATAATAATTTATGTTATGGGATGCCTTTGCTTTATTTTGTTGCAAGAAGGCAAGAAGTAGAAATAAAAGAGATTCTTGTATGTCTCTGCTCAGCATAAGTTTCTTCTTTTGCTGAGGTAAGTTTTCTTGACTGGTAAGATGTAGCTGAAAATATATTTATTTTTGCTTGTATTTCTGTTTTTCAGGGAGCTGCGCCCTCAGGTGAAAGAGGAGGTCTTAGTGATGATTCAAAACACCTTTAACTTGGGACAGAAACAGTCCAGTCATCTCTTTCACATTTTGATGGAATGCATGGAGCACAGAGAGTTCGTGAGTGTGGTTCATGCTCTGAGTTTAGGCCATCTTCATCTGCTGTTGTCCTTCTTGCTCTTTCTGTGGTGGCCTGGGATGGGCACAGCAGTTGCAGGCATAATAGTGTTATCTCCAATACAGGGATAGCATAAAGGTGCCTGTGCTAATTTATGTATTGGGTAGCCCCACAGAGCCTGCTTAGTTAACTTCCCAAGTCTTGGTGGCTGCTTATGAAATTACAAATTTTGTTTTTAGTAAAAAGCCAGACATCTTTGTTTTTGCAAGAAAGATCAAGTAATTCCTACTTTTTTTTTTTCCTCTAGTAGTATCTTATTAGTAATTTAAAAATGTTTCCATCTATTCTATTCATAACAGATTTGTGTTATAACTCGTCTCTGAGAGTCGAAATGCACTTTAGAAATGTGCTGGCATGTTTATTTTCTCAGGTGCTCATGTGCCAGTAGAATCACGGAATCATAGTATGGTTTGTGTTGGAAGGGACATTAAAGATCATCTAGGTCCACCTTCCCTGCCATGGGCTGGAACACCTCCCACTTGGCAAGGTTGTTCAAAGCCCCATCCAGTCTGGCCTTCAACACTTCCAGGGAGGGGGCATCCACAATTTCCCTGGGCAACCTGTGCCAGTGTCTTACCACTCACATAGCGAAGAATTTCTTCCTAATGTCTAACCTAAATCTCCCCTCTTCCAGTTTTAAGCCATTCCCCTTCATCCTGTCACTACAAGACCTTGTAAAAAGCCTCTCCCCAGCTTTCTTGTAGCCCCTTCAGGTACTGAGAAGCCACTATAAGGTCTCCTTGGGGCCTTCTCTTCTCCAGGCTGAATAACCTCAACTCTCTCAGCCTGTTCTTAGAGGAGAGGTATTCCAGCCCTCTGATCATTTTTGTGGTCCTCCCCTAGACTCACTCCAACAGGTCTATGTCCTTCCTATGTTGAGGGCCCTAGAACTGGACACAGTACTCCAGGTGGCATCTCATCAGAGCAGACTAGAAGGGGAGAATCACCTCCCTTGACCTGCTGACCATGCTTCTTTTGATGTAGCCCAGAATATGGTTGGCTTTCTGGACTTCAAGCACACACATTGCCTGGTCATGTCATTTTTTCATCCGCCAGTACCCCCAAGTCCTTCTCCACCAGGCTGTTGTCAATCCCTTCATCCTCCAGCCTCTATTAATACCATGGATTGCCGTAAACCATGTGCAGGACCTTGCACTTGGCCTTCCTTAATCTCATTTTCCTGTGGGCCCACTTCTGAAGCATGTGCAGATCCCTCTGGATGGCATCTTGTCCCTCAAATGTGTCAACTGCACCACTCAGCTTGGTGTCATCTAGAAACTTGCTAAGGATGCACCCAGTCTCACTGCCTATGTCATTGGTGAGGACATTAAACATTACTGGTCCAAGTATTGACTCCTGAGGGACAGAACTTGTCACTGATCTCCATCTGAACATCAAACCATTAACCACTACCTTCTGAAAGTGACAATCAAACCAACTCATCATCCACTGAGCACTCCACATAGCCAAATACAGCTAGTTTTATCTTATCTTCCTTTCTCTTCTGATGTTACTAAAGAGATAATTGTTTAAGTAGATGTCCACTTTACAGTTTAGCTACTTCTCTGCTTGTTGGAGCAATGCCATGGATTAATAAATCCCCAATAGATCACATGTCCTGTTTGTAACTGTGGTATTATCTGCAGAACAGATAGAGTTGAAGAAGTATGGGATGATCTAATTCAGAAACTTAACTACTGAAATCTGTTCAAGTGAGATTGTACACCTAATTAAATAGACCTAATTTTACATATAGAAATTACTGTGGGTATGAGAACCATGCCAATGTGAAACCAAAGTGTTTGGTCTGTAGGTGTCTCAGAACTGATACTGATTTTTTTTTTTTCATTGACTGGTAGAGGAAAAAAATGTATTGTAGCTGAACAGAGTTCAGCTGCTCAGTTTTCTATCCCCATTCCTCTTACATACACTCCTCCATAGAATTTTTTTTTTTTTTAATGTTGGCCTATTATTTAGGAATAAATACTCCTGGCAGTTTTGTATCACACCTAGACTGGAAGTCAGTTGAAGAGTATTCAGGCTTGATTTACTGTAACTGTTTTGGAAAATGAAGAGACTCCAATTAGGTCCCATAATTATGACACAGCCCTTTATGTGCTGGTGAGTGCTTTTCTTTGTTGTTGCTTCTTTAAAGTAAAACAAAAGCTTTCACCCGTCTGATGCTGACTATTCAGCAAGTCAAATAGGATAAACTCAAGGGTTACAGAGGAACAAGGCTGTATTTATGACCTGACAGGCTAGAGATCATTATATGTAGCAAGAAAGATCAGGGAATCCTGTGACAGCTACCTCAGATATATAAGGCTAAGGAATTAAAAACCTTTCTTGGGGGAGAATTTCCTGGGTTTATTTTCTCTATTTTTGTGGAATTAAGTCAGTTTCTAATTAAGATTCTTAGCCACATATCTCTATCCAGTAATTCAAAAGTTCTTTTTTGACAATAATGTCTTATTTATCTGACTACATCACTGCAGATGTTGCAGATTACATGATTTTTTAAGATTTAAGAATAATTAAAAAGCAATTTATTGTTAATGTTCACTGTGTACTTTAAATGCAAACACAGTGTTTTCAGACATACTAGTTTGCTGCATATTAGTTCTCATTCAATATTGCATCATATGCTACTATTTATTCAAGAGCACTTTTCTCTTGCAGTTTTAGAAACTTGTTCTGAAGTGCCAAAGTTAGCTAATTGACAGTATTTTAAAATTTGATTAAGTTTTTACCAGTCTTCTGTATTTTGCTTTATTATCTTCTTGGTCCTATTGAACAGCCATGACATGTGCATATATCCATAGAAACTGATAGGGAAAACAGTTCTCTTATTCAGGGTTCAAATTTAGACTCACAAGTGTTAGCTGGAAGCCTGTAAATACTTCTCACTGTTTCTTGGCCATAAATGGTTGGAAATCTCCTCAGATTAAGTTTCTTATGAGGTGACTGCTAGTTTGGTCTGAAATCCTGTTAGTGTGATTCTTCTCACATGATTACTATCATGTTCAAAGTAGAGAAGGGAAGCAGAGATCCCTTCCAGTCATAGCCATGGAGACACATCAGTTTAACAAGCCCTTGCTGAACTTTGGAAGAGTTGGATGGGAGCTTCATTTGCTTGATCTTTAATTTAGTCTAAATGAAATAAATTTAAAATGTACTTGATATGTAGAAACAGGAAAATGGACATAACACACTTTTTTTTTTTTCCTTCTTGGTTGTGTGTGGAAAAAAGAAAAAAAAACACAGTTCTTAACTATGGTAATTAATAGATGCTGGATGGTAAAGGCAATATTGTACTTGCTAACATTTTCATAGATGTTCTTCAAGTTAAACATTGCTCTTCTTTCTGAGTAAATGGTGGCTGCCTAAGTACAGAATATGACGGCCGTATTGGAGACTGCACAACAGAAAAGGCAGCAAGATTAAGGAGATTTAGAGCTGTTTATACTACCTAACTACACTAACTCAGATTCCATAGTAAAAGAAAGAGCTAGAAAGAAAGACCAAAGCTAGTTCTTTCTGCCTGGAGTGTCCTGAGGTTGGTATAGTACTTCAGTTGAGAACAAAAAAACCCCTGTTACTAAACAAAATCAAAGGCTGTGACAAAGTGTATTTTTCCACTCAATATACTTTTTGCTGAGGTTCCATTTTCCCCCCTTTTCTTATAAATTTTCAGTTCTCATTTATTGCAAATAAATTAGAGAGATGCTTTCTCTTTACAGTCCATGGCAGTATAAAAACTGTTACAGTTTTATAGCTCCATGTGCCTGAGGAACCTTGGAGCTGAGCATTTATATTGCTTAACAGCAGGGTTTGGATAATATGAGACAACACACTATCTCTAGGATCACACTGATTTTTCCTTAAGGAAATATAATTAAAGTCTTGGCTGATGTACTCCTAGTTGATTTTCTATAATGTAGTTATTTTTTAATGAGATTATTAACCTTGTAGTTTAAATCTAAATTGAACGGTTTAAAATTATTCACAACTTCGTTTTCTGTTTGCATATAATATTTTTATATTATATATATAATAGTACCTGTATGTCTGCAAATCCTTTTGAGACAAAAAGTATTACATCCTTTAACAGCACTGCATATGAGAAGTATTTTACAGGACACACTCTGTAAGATCTCTGTTGTCCTACTTTAAGAAGCTGTTCTGTTAAGAACAAGTGTAAGGAAGTCTTTACTTAAGATTAAATATTTATGTTCACCTGGCCAGTAGGTTGTGTTCTATATTAGCTTTTATAACTTTGTTATTAAATTGCGTTTCAGCAAACATTTTTACATTTCACCCATTGGTATGAATGGCAGCAAATAATAAATACTTAATAAATGAGACCTATTGTATAGAATTCCAACACTGTCAAAAGGATTCGGGCGTGCTCAGAGGAGAGATCCAAACTGAAACACAAAACACAAAATTAAGCAAACGTAATCTCTGTGTAGATCATCAAACTATATAAATCTTTGCATCACGGCTAGAAATGTGAAATATTTCCTACTGAAGCTAGCACAACTTATTATATCTTGTTTTAGAAATATATTTTTAGTGTAGAATTGAAAAAACACATCAATATCATTTCCCCAGTCAATTAATGTTGTGATAAATTTGAAATAATCACAGTGTCAATTATTTTCCTCAGAGATAATAATCTTTCATGAGTTCTGAATTAATAGCACTTATCTCGAAATTCATAAAAAGTTCAGAAACAATACATGGTGGTACCTTGCCTTCAGAGGAGTTAATGCTCTTATTTCTCTTCTGAGTGAATGCAAATTGCAGAAACGGTGCTCCTGAGTGGTTTCCTCTGCACCTTGCGAGGATCAGCCCCCTGAGGAAGCATTTTCATAGCACTGATCTCAGGAAGGCACTGGTAAAAACTCTTGCACATTCCTGGCTTTCACTCTTCTGATGCCATGGCAGACAGATTAGCAGAACACCGCTTTAAAGTGAGCCATCAATCAGTGTGACTGTTTCTCAGCCTGACTCAGTTTATTAGTGAGCTAAAGAAGTATGTGGTAAAATGACAGATGCAATATTTTGTGTATTTGTGTGTGTGAAAATCAGTTAATGCCTTTGACAAGAAAGCCATTTTGGAAACTGTTGAACCAAGAGTTCTCAGAAGATCTATTGTTGAACTTTAGACATGAATAATAACACAGAAAGTGCATCTTCTCCCTTCTAAGAATACTTGATCCATGAGCCTGTTGCATAGATATATTCAGAGTAATATTTAATGAATGAAAAAATAAGTTTTCAGTATTAGTTGCCTATGACCCTGAGCCCAGACTGAGAGCATCTGTCCTTGCTCATGTATCAGCAGAATTATCATCCCAGTTTTTGTATGTAGCCAGACAGCAGTCTCAGGTGTGGGACAGAAAGATGAGTAAGGGAGAAAAAAGCATCTTGACCTTTATAATCACAAAAAATTTGTCTGGGCAGGTGAACCGTGAAGATATGGAAAAATTAATGTAATAAGAAGAATGACACTATAGGAAGCTTTTATTTTTAGGCAAGTCAGTAATTTCAAAATTTTAAATAATATAATTGTATATGTTATAATTTCTTTTTATTTCTATTCAGACATTATTGGCAATATGGTGGACCTTAATGTACAATATATCCCTATGTTTTAAAAGTTGTTATGGATCTTTTATAACACATTTATTACTGAAATAAAAATAAATATTTATTTTGCTGAAAAACATCTAGAAAGAAACTAAATAATTCCTTCTCAGAATGGAGGTGCCATTCCGTGGATTCCTGAAGTGATTAGTATTGTTTAGATAGCTGATCAAGCACACAGGCAGACTGAATTACAGTGCACATCACGTAACCAGGAAAGTATGCTGCATATTTTAGAACAGTAAGTTCAGGTACAATGGTGACATATAGCAAGTTCCTAACAGCTGACGCTGCAATTTTTTAAACAGGCTTTGACAATAGTTGGGGTTAAGAGACTCAAATGCTTTGTTAAGACATCTAGATGCACATGCTACCTGTATCTTTATTCTTTTGATAAATGGGTTTCTGAGAGAGTCCTACCAAGAAATCTTATGTAGTTTTGTTAATTATGAGAAATAGCCTGAAGAGTTTTCCTCTCGTCCAATACCTGAATGTTTTTTTAAACTGTTACTCAGGAACTGTAAGACAATGTTTAAACTGCATCTTATGGAATGAAAGCTTATTTTAATATCTTTACTTCTTAATTTTGTATGTGTGGTAAAATTCAATAGTATTCCCAGAAACCTTGGGTAAGCAAATGATTTCTGTTTCTGGTTTTCTCTGCTTCTTTTTTCCCCGCTTGGTTACTTCATAATTGTTCAACCTCTTGCTCAAAACACTGTCAACTAAAAAATCAAACCAGGTTGCTCAAGATTTGATCCATCTGGGTCTTGAACACTCCCAAGGCTAAAGATGATACCAACTCTCTGGGCAGCCTTCCTGCCTACTGGCCTCTATTCATGGGGAGAAAAAGCTTCTACTAAAATCCAGCCAAGAACTCTTGTTTCAGCTTGATGTCGTCCTCCTGCCCGGCACCACTATGAAGGTCCTGACTAAGATTTCTGAGTAGACTCCTAAAATGTATGAAAGGGCCCATTAAACTTTCCTTGAAAAAAGAATGCAAAAAAATGTGATCTTCTCAGTCTATTGATTTGTTGCCTAGTCCTTGATTAAAATAACACAGCTAGATAAAATTAATTGAAAGAAACAAAGCCTTTAGCTATGTTATTAATGATTTATTTCAATGCTCCCATGATGGGAGACAATATTCTGAACACTTCTCACAATCTTTGGTTAAGAATATTTAAGAGGGATTGTGATGATAATTTAGAAGTATAGAAGAGCGTAAGAATGGCCTGAATTTATTCAAATTAACAAAAAAAGAACAATTTAAGAAACTTGATAGCCTAATTATTTATTTATAAGTTCTATATAGTCTTTCAGGAGAGCAGTATTTTCCCTACTGTGTTGCATTGAAATTTTTTTCTTCTTTACTTGCTTTTTCTTCCATATTTTTGATCTTTAAAAAAAATACTCTTGCCATTTCCAAAGAACTGGAAAAAAGGAATGGAAAAGTTAATAGAAAGATAAATGAGGGGAAAAAGATGGGAGAGATATGAAGCCTAAAGAACAAACAATAACGAGTTCAATTTTATCACTATATGACTACTGAAAGAAAAATATTTTCTGAACTTGTAGTGATTTTTTAGCTCTATACTCACAGAAAATCCTTTGAAAATGGTTAACTTTTTAATTTGTCATATTTCCAATTGTATATATGCATGGTCAGAGCTAATGACTCTGTGAATAATAATTTATGTTATGGGATGCCTTTGCTTTATTTTGTTGCAAGAAGGCAAGAAGTAGAAATAAAAGAGATTCTTGTATGTCTCTGCTCAGCATAAGTTTCTTCTTTTGCTGAGGTAAGTTTTCTTGACTGGTAAGATGTAGCTGAAAATATATTTATTTTTGCTTGTATTTCTGTTTTTCAGGGAGCTGCGCCCTCAGGTGAAAGAGGAGGTCTTAGTGATGATTCAAAACACCTTTAACTTGGGACAGAAACAGTCCAGTCATCTCTTTCACATTTTGATGGAATGCATGGAGCACAGAGAGTTCGTGAGTGTGGTTCATGCTCTGAGTTTAGGCCATCTTCATCTGCTGTTGTCCTTCTTGCTCTTTCTGTGGTGGCCTGGGATGGGCACAGCAGTTGCAGGCATAATAGTGTTATCTCCAATACAGGGATAGCATAAAGGTGCCTGTGCTAATTTATGTATTGGGTAGCCCCACAGAGCCTGCTTAGTTAACTTCCCAAGTCTTGGTGGCTGCTTATGAAATTACAAATTTTGTTTTTAGTAAAAAGCCAGACATCTTTGTTTTTGCAAGAAAGATCAAGTAATTCCTACTTTTTTTTTTTCCTCTAGTAGTATCTTATTAGTAATTTAAAAATGTTTCCATCTATTCTATTCATAACAGATTTGTGTTATAACTCGTCTCTGAGAGTCGAAATGCACTTTAGAAATGTGCTGGCATGTTTATTTTCTCAGGTGCTCATGTGCCAGTAGAATCACGGAATCATAGTATGGTTTGTGTTGGAAGGGACATTAAAGATCATCTAGGTCCACCTTCCCTGCCATGGGCTGGAACACCTCCCACTTGGCAAGGTTGTTCAAAGCCCCATCCAGTCTGGCCTTAAACACTTCCACATATGAGGCATCCACAACTTCTCTGGGCAACCTGTGCCAGTGTCTCACCACCCTCACAGCAAGTAATTTCTTCCTGATGTCTAACCTAAATCTACCCTCTTTCAGTTTAAAACTGTTACCCCTATCAATACACTCCCTGGTAAAGAGTTCCTCCTCATCTTTCCTTTAGACCGCCTTTAAGTACTGGAGGGCCTCTAAAAGGTCCCGCTGGAGCCTTCTCTTCTCAAGGCTGAAAAACTCCAACTCTCTCAGCCTTTCCTCATAGGAGGGGTGCTTCAGCCCTCTGATCATGTTTGTCACCCTCCTCTGGACTTGTCAACAGCTCCATGTCCTTCTTGTGTTGGAGTCTTCAGAACTGGACACAGTACTCCAGGTGGAGTCTTGCAAGAGCAGAGCAGAGGGGCAGAATCCCCTCCCTGGACCTTCTGGTCACACTTCTTTTGATGCAGCTCAGGATACAGTTGGCTTTCTGGGTTGTGAGCACATGTAACCGGTTTGTGTTGAGCTTTTTGTTCACCAGTACCCTCAAGTTCTTCTCCTCAGGACTGCTCTCACTCAATTCTCCACCCAGCCTGTGTTTGTGCTTGGGATTGCCCTGCCTGAGGTGCAGGACCTTGCAATTGGCCTTGTTGAACTTCATGAGGATGGTATGGGCCCACCTCTCAAGCCTGTCAAGATCCCTCTGGATGGTTTCCCTTCCCTCTAGGGTATCAGCCATACCACCCAGCGTGGTATCATCTGCAAACTTGCTGATAATGCTCTCAGCCGTAGCCCTGTCATAGAAGGTCACCAAATTTGCCAGGCACAGTTTGCCCTTAGTAAGGCCATGCTGGCTGTCACCGATCACTTCTCTGTTTTCCATGTGCCTTAGCACATGTGCCTTTAGCATAGTTTCCAGGAGGATCTGCTCCATGATCTCGCTGGGCACAAAGATGAGGCTTCCTGGCCTGTAGTTCCCCAGGTCTTCCTTTTTAGCCTTTTTTAAAATGGGGATTATGTTTCCCTTTTTCAGTCAGTGGAAACTTCACCAGTTTGCTGTGACTTTTCAAATATTATGGAGTACCACATATTTGTCATGGCAGCAATGGCAATTGTAGCAATGATTGCTAAAATGGAAACTACGCAGTATGTTTTTTCTTATTTTTTATTTTACTTCATTTGATTCTATTTTATAGTTGAAAACTGGGTAGATACTAACCATGTTGCATATTGACACTTCTCAGCTTTAAAGGCTAATCAAAAGGAAATAGACTCATGTTATTATGCACTAGGTAGAAGCCAGTTTGCCTAGGATGCCAGCACATTAAAAAACAAAATGGTACATTTCCTGTTTGAAATGTCTGGATCCTTGGCATTGTTTGTGTTGAAATGTGCATGATTTAATCAACCACAGCCTTTACCAAGAAGAAATAACTACAGATTTCTCTGCCTCACCTCAAATAGTATACTTCTGCAATTCTAACAGATAACCATATTTGATGCAGAGTCAGAAGATCAGCAGGACATTGACTTGGCAATTCTGACTGCACTCCTGAAAGGTACTGCTGTAAAAATATGACCTGTTTTTGTCTGACATACAGTCCCATTGGCTTACCTTTTCAAAGCAAAGGCCTAACACCAATGTATGAAAATTGCTAGGTCCTTTGTTTGTTTCCTAGGTACAAATATGTCTGCTTCAGATCAGTTGGATTTGGCATTGGCCTGGAACCGGCTTGATATTGCCAAGAAGCATGTATTGGTTTATGGACAACACTGGAAGGTACTGTTATCTTTTAACTTTCACAGTGGCTTTACACTGTGTTATGATGACTAATTTTCCACAAATTGCATTTGTCAGACTTGGAGTCAGTCTTCTGGTGTAAGCATCTTTGATTTTGAATGGGCATTATTCTTAAAACTGTGAAATTTTCAATTGCAGGGTGCATCAGATGAAAAATCAAACCCATTTATTTCACTAGAGAAGAGGTGATAGCTGGAATTCCTGTAGTTTTCATTGCTAGCTTTTCTAAATACTTTCAGTGGTTGTTCTGGATATTCCTCAAGTCTGTGTTGACAGTCAGTGGTGGTGAAGGATATTTCATTGTAGCCCAGAGTACTCTTCTCCAAAGGAGTAGACCCCAGAGGAGTGTTGCCTCCATTTTCCTAGCTCTAGACAGAAATACAGATTTCACAGTCCTGTATGGTGTTGCCAGATCAAAAAAAAGGTAGAATTAACTATGGTAATTCAGCATCAGGCCATTATTTAAAATATTGTTTCTTAGGAACAGCTGCAATCAAGGTAAGCCGTTATTTAGACCTACGTTAACTATATATATGCATGTGAAAGAGCACACAATAGTAATTAAATCAGTCCTATAATTTGCAGTTTCCAATTTTTTAGTTGTAATCTGGTATTTAAGCATAAACCTTACTAGGTGAGTTTTTATATATGTAATATGATTTTTGTAGATGATAAATATAAAACTGTATGTGCCTTAACACGTTATTCCCATTTGTTATGAGTAAATATTTTCTTCAAGTAATTGTATCTGATGGTCTCAAAAGTACTTTTAAAGTTTTCCCTTCCAAGCATTACAAGGTTGATTTTTCCAGTCCCAAGTGCCCTTTTTTCTTTATAATTATTATTTAATAATTATTAATTTACTAATTTAATAATATAATTATTATTTAATGATTATTTTCGGAAAATTGGCAGTGAGTGTATTTTTTTTAAGTAACTGTAGCTGGTTGTTTGACACAAAAGAGCTGAACTTACTAATCACCAGTTCGTATTTTCCTGTGGTCTGTAAGGCTGAATACATGGAGAGTTCTGCTTGAAATGTCTACAATTGGGCATCTATGAATTAAATAATTTTGTTGTTGTTGTTGTTACCTCTTTGGGCTCAGTTCACTGTCATGGTTTTGCACCAAACCTGGTAAAAATAAATTATATTGAGTGCCCACTGAAAGGCAAAGAAGGATCTACCTTGCTTCCTGTTACTCTACTGTATTTGCCCATATTGAATTTCACCTGCTTTTTTGGCTGGTTAGCCCATATTGAGATTTTTCCATACCCTTTCCCAACCAGTTTTATTATGAGTGTTTTTGAATCATCAACAAGTATTGTCAAGTCAGTATTTAAAACTGTGTTTTTTCTTGGTCTTCCACTACTACTTATAATCTTTTCCCTAGTATTTGATCAGCTATTAAAGAATTGGAGGACCTTTTGCCTTGTGACAGCTTAATTTGTTTAGAACTCTTTCAGGGGAGGTGTCATCAAAAGCTTTTGTGGGGTACAAATGTACAGCATCAATTGGACAGCCTTATTCTCATTGTCTCTGCCAAAATTCTGATAGAGTTCTGATTTCATTCTACAAAATATCTACCTTGCTTTCTCTTACTCTACTGTATTTGCCCATATTGCTGTTATTGCTTATTGTAGTGTCATATTTTTCCTTACAAAGTTCCAACTGTATTGATCTGCCATACTTTGACAACTTGTACACTCTTTAATTTTTCTTGACTATTACCATATTTTCTACTGTCTTCCACTCTGCTGTTAGAGGGGCTAATTTCAGCTGTACTTCAGTTCTCTGGAAACTGGTGGTGAATACCACCTGGTTCTGACATTTTCTACATCTTTATGGATGTCTTGTAATCTTTCCTACTGACACCTCAGTTTGACACAGTTCCTCAGATTTATCTACCATAAAGAGCAGCTTTGATGTAGGAAGTTTTCTAACATGTTCTGTAGTGAGCAGTGAGGCAATGAATTAATTTATCATTTCTACAATAGCCTTATTTTCTTGTGTGTTTCTTTTATACCTTGATCATCCTCTGGCCTTACGGTTTCACTGGCAGTCCCAGTACTCCTGCTCCTCTACTTCTGCTATGTTTGAAAAAGATCTATGTACCTGTTCATATCTATTTCAGTGCAGTTGTTCAGCACCGTTTTGACAGAAAAGTCATTGTCAAATAATGAGTATGTTCTCCCTTTCAAGTAAGGTGTAGAGAGGTTGTAATAAACAAGCCTTATATCTCTTGATGCTTCTCCAAGCAAAAAATAGAATTATATACACTCCTGAAAGATTTTCTTTTGACTAAGCAGGAAAAAAAATCTTAAGCATCAATATTTTCTTCATGCATTGTACAGAAGGAAAAAAAAACAAAACGGAAGAAAAAAAAATGCACAAGCACAGTTTTACAGTTTGCTTTTGACTTCTTTGGTTGCTTAAGTAAAGAGGAGTGTCACTCCAACTGCTAAACTGCGACAGTCAGGGTCTATATTTTATGTATGTTTATTGTGTTTACGTGTTCAAATTTTGAATTAGATAGCCAAGCAGCAATTTTTAGGTGAAAGTCCATGCAGTCTTTTTATATCTCAGTGTTTTAAGGAAACACGCAGTTATGCATACATTGTGGCAGTTTGTTTTTAGAACTGGTTTGAAAAATTCAGCAGATAAAAAAGATTGTAACCAGCTGTAATTATGTTTTTCCTTAAATGTCAGCTCAGTCCCAAATGGACTTTACAACAGCATGCCATTTTAGCAATTACCAGACATCTGCCTAAACCTTTTTAGACACACCACCAGCACAAGGAAGGGACTCTCAAGGAAATGTAGTGTGGGAACAGTCACTGCAAGATGTTTCTGGGAGAAACACCAATAATTCAGAAACTGTGCATAAGTTTTATTTTCATGTGTGACAATTCTGTAATGTTTATTGGTCATCTTTTACTATGACTTCTGCCAAACATAAATTTGTACATGGAAAGGACTAACTTCATGTGCCAAGTTAGCACTAACACGTGCTCCATTTTTGTGCCATCTTCCTCATTCTGCCCACCCTCCTGCATTCTCGGTGCATATGTGTTCTGTAGAAATTATTTATCTGGATTTATATGAACCTTATGTGACCAACTCCTTTGCTATTTTGTAAGTAAAAATCCTGCTGAGCTCAGTGCAAGCGCCATGAGTAGAGTGCTTCCACTATTTGGTCACTGTTGTAGGTAGATCCCTGCTTCATGGTGTCTTTGAGAGTTTACGTTAATGCAGATTCTCTCTCATATTTGAAAAGAAGTCTGCTTTAAAGAACTTCAGGTTCTATAGAGAGATCTTGAAATACAGTACCTTGAAATGACTTTTGTCATATGTCAAACAAGAAAGGCTTCTTCAACCCTTGCCATTATCATACATTATCTTCTGAAGTAAATTCAAGAGTAGGGAATCTATTATTGAGTTCGGTTCTAAAGTGAGATTTGTAGAAGTCTCTACAGACATTGGGTTTATAGAGACTCAGTTTTACTCCCCCTCTCTGTTGAATTCTTTACACAGACACTTCTTCCAGCTAATTTTTTTCTTTTGTACTGTGCACTTTTTAAATATATGTGAAGACAAATAATTGTGATAAGGAGATCCCTAGCTGTTCAGGAATGTTTTATTATTTCTAAAAGAAGATCATAATTTTCTAAGCTTTTTCTTCATCTCTGATGTTCTGGAGGTTGGTGCCTTGGAACAAGCAATGTTGGATGCTTTAGTGATGGACCGTGTGGATTTTGTGAAGCTGTTAATAGAGCATGGAGTGAACATGCACCATTTTCTTACCATATCTCGTTTGGAAGAACTCTACAATATAGTGAGTATTTGAAATCCTAGTAGTACAACTTTAGATAAGAATCCCTAGAAAGAATACTGTTTTGCATAAGAGATTTGATAACTAGGCCACATTTTTATGAAGGATTTTTGAAAAAAAAAAAAAAAAAGAAAATTAATGAGTTTTGTTAATTTTGTATTGTAATGTTAGATTTTTTGATTGGTGTCCCAGCTTTTTATTTCTGAGTCACTGATGTGAACCAGACTGAGTACTCACCTGAAGCTCATGAGAGATATGTTCTCATTTGAATCTGGTACATGCTTAGTACATGCTTATGCTGCTGAAAATTGTATGTTACTTAACCAAGCTGATACCTACTTCTTTCTAGAATACATCAAAGTTTAAGATAGAGGCAGATTGGTATTGAAATGTTTTTTGAGACATTTATGGGGTGAGTTTGAGTGGCAGGAGTTTGAATCACAGTAGCATATTGCCCAGATCTCTTAGCTACTTTGTTTTACTGTATTGATGTGTGTGACATGTTTATTTGCTATCTTTTCAAACTACAGAAACAAGGACCATCAAATCTACTTCTGCATCACCTAGTTCAAGATGTGAAACAGGTAATGGACATAAGAAAGGCTAGGTGGACATAAGAATGTAATGGACATAAGAAAAGTGGTGGCTTAGAGCTTCATTGTCCACTGGCACACTGCAATTAAGTAGTAGAGGGGAGTTAAAGGGTTAGAAGTGATGGGTTCATTACTGTGCTTCTGTAGCTATGAAGCAGTTTTATCTTTGTGCCACTGATCCCCCTAAGTAATTAACTAGAATACTACTACTGAGTGCTCCCAAGGGTCCTGTACCTTAACTTCAAGGTCAAATGGTTTGTGTAGAACAGACTCTTTCTCAAGTTACTAAAGTGAGATTATGAAGTGATTGTACAAAAGACTTAGTGGATTACTGCAGTAATTATGCTCATTGCTTTAAGGTTTTCTTTTTTTTTTTTTTTTCTTTGCCCCAAAGCTAAAGAAGTCTTTTCTTGTTGAGCAGTAACAACAAGATATCTTGACAAGATAAAATACTGTTTTAATGTGCTACACTGCCTAGGAGAACAGAAGGTGGCAGTACATGACTACTGCATGGAGCACTGGCTCTGTTAGTAGTGTAGTGGTAGCCTT